AGAAGTATCGTAAATATTTCTATCGTTAATTTTTATCAAATATACCACTCTTTGGTCGAGAGAATATTATTTTTGATATAGAGGATTTGAATAACGCAAGATTGGGGATAATTATGATGTGGTCAGATAGGGCATTCCAGAGGGAGCTACCAAGAAAATGCATAGTGTGCCGTCCAGATTGTCCAGGGAGAAAGGGGATATGGAGAAGCTGAGTGGCTTGACCCCTTGTGAAGGGACAATCAACGTGCACGACGGGGTCGGCAGAGATCAACTTGAAGTAAGGTAGAAACAATGATCTGGCTGATGAGGACAGACAACGAAAGACAAACTGCAAGACTTTGTAGATGAAAAAGGTGCTCAACAGAATAAAGTGCGAGGCGCGTGCGCAGTGGCCCAGTGGCCACGGCGCCATGCAATTGGAATATGGCGCGAACACCAGACTTGCCGACTTTCAGGAGGCGGGTGACTAACTGCTTTGTGAGGCACGGAAAAAAGGAATTTGATGCATAAGTGAATCTAGACTGAATTATTGCTATATACCATAGGCGACGTGCAGTGATTGACAGTGCTCGTCCATGACGCCAGAGCTGTCCCACAGCAACAGACACTTTGCGTACAAATTGTTCGACATGCGGTTGCCAAAAGAGTTGGTCGTCCACAAGGGCTCCAAGATACTTCGCTGTTGTGGTGACTGACAGACGGATATCATTGCAATAAATACCAGGCATGGCATTGAAACGGCCACGGGGCTGGATGAACAACACTTGCATTTTGGCGGAGTTCAGAACAAGTCCAATACTGCACAGCCAATCAGCAAGTTTCGAGACAGCACTTGAGAGAGCATTGCACACAAGGTATCTGTCCGAGGACAATGTCATCAGCAAACTCCTGGTGACTTACTTGCATTATTACTATTATTGTAGGAGAAACCAGCGACCGCTTGGGAACGATGACCATTAAACCAGTCTTATTGTGAGTGAAAGTCAGGCCAAGTTTCTGAAGATCAGTAGCGAGTGCTATCCCGAGCATTATGTTAGCATTACGAAAGCATAGACAGGATGATGCGTATTACAGGAGACCCAAGTTGCTGAAGACCAGCAGTCATTGCCGATAACGTGCAGAACAACTAAATCTGCAGCCTCTTTTGCCGTCGGACAGGATGCGTATTATAGGGAACTGTAAAGTTATGTTATGAATTACTACAAAACGCCATAAAATCCGATTATTTAAAACAAACGGCGAGGCGACAATGATTTGATAACCGCAATCATTAAGACGAGCTGAACCGACATTTGTGTACTTTATTCATGCAATGTAAAACGTTGGAGACGATGTGCAATAAAACGATGAAAATATGAAGAAATAGTGTAGAGAAAAATATGGTTACAAACAAGTTTTCGTACAACACTCATCAGGAATCGTCGTTGTACTAAATGACACTGAAACAAAATTGAACTATTATAGAAAATCTACGTTAAAGTAATCGCTCCCGGCACATCACATGGTTCAATCCACCATTTAGCAAGAACGTCGCCACCGGCGGCGGAAATCGCTTCCTCCAGTTAGTGGCCACACACTTCCCCAAAGGCTCAAGCCTCAACAAAATCTTCAACCGGAACTCGGTTAAGGTTAGCTACAGTTGCATGCAGAATATGGCCACTATCATCAAACAACACAATAACACGATTCTACGACCCAAGAAACAAGCTAACGGAGGTGACAACGACACCAGGACTTGTAACTGTCGGGCGAAAGACGTCCACTGGATGGAGCGTGTCTAACGGAGAGCATCGTGTATAAGGCAAGAGTCACCGCAGGTATGGAGAAGAAGGAGTATACTGGATTAGTAGCAACAACATTCAAACAACGCTTCTATAACCACCAATCCTCATTCCGCCACAGACAACACGAGAAGGACACCCGCCTATCGCAGTACGTCTGGACCAACAAGGATGAAGGGAAGGCATGCAGCATTCAATGGGCGGTATACCGCAGAGCAGCGGCCTATAGCAACAAAAGCAAAAGGTGCAACCTGTGCCTGGCGGAAAGATTGGCAATCGCGCAAGCACCCAAGCACCTCTCTCTCTCTCTCGACAAAAGGAGTGAGCTTGTGTCAAAGTGTCGCCACGAGAATAAGTACTATCTTCGGAACACAAGAGAGAGTTTGGAAGCTTTGTTACAACTCTGAGTTTCACGTATTACTACGATCATCAGGCCTTTGGAACTTCAAACCATCCACAGCCATCACCTAATTAAGTAAGAGAAAACGGGCTCCAGTGGTTGTCACCTTTCACCACTGCTGTCATTCACACTTTTACTTTTTGGATTTGCCTCGTGATGCAGTCAATCACGCTTTGCACTGCCGCCATTCACAACTTTTAGATTTGTGCCACGCTGCAGTTATTTACTACTGTAAATCTACAAATTTTCCCCGGTGAAAAACTTTCGCCGGTCTCCAAAAAACAATTTTCGCCGCCACTAAACTTTCGCCGTGGGCGTGAAAGAGTCCGAAAAAGTGATCGATGTTTCGTGTGCACATGTACTAGAGCCTAGTAGAAAGGTCTGCATAGTTTGTACACCACTGTCTTCTGTACGAAGTGTTTTACAGACAGTCCGGCGGCATATGATTTGGTTCTGGTGACAAATTTTGGCCGGCGATTAATTTTGGCCGATTGACATCGACCGGCGAAATCAGCGAAATTAAATCGCCAGCGAAAATTAGTTGATTTACAGTATTTGTTTTGTGAGTAGATAAACCAATACTGATCCAGACTGTTTTCTGATGATCGCTTTTTAATAGTGCGTGAAACTCGGAGTAAAAACATTTTTCTGTCCTCCTATTGTTTTAAAATCTACTTCCTCCGCGTCACCGAAATTGTCGCAGTTTGACTTTTGATATAAAACGGGGTATTTACTCACCAGCACTCATACCAGAGGCAGGGAATGGGATATAGGCGATAGTCATCAGTATAAGCTGACGGTAAAATTCTATTTTCTGTTATTGGAAGCTGGAATTTTTGAACTAGACGCAATTTCTTCGTTGATGTCGCTGCGATGGTAATTTTGACTTGCGGAGATCAGTCAGGCGTTGCAGCCTGCACATTTCTCTTGCTTATGGCCATTCACTCAAGCCTCATCACTGTTTTACCTGGCTGGGGTGAGAATGACTTCGCGGAACAAGTGGCAGCGCTTGGAGAAACATCGAGGGGTCAGCAAACTAAATGCCTGCAACAGCGATAAAATTTGTTGCTCTGGCTGAGACACTCAGTACATGATTGTACCTGCAAGAGCCGTGTAGACTCTACACGTAGTGCTAGTGATGCACACGCAGGTGCCGTACCATGGTATACCAGTGATGCTGAAAAAGAGGGCGCGCTGGACGCGATAGAACACTTACCTGAGCTGCATGAGCTGTGACCAAACGGCTAAAATAAATGGGCATGTCACGGCTAAAAAAAGTTCATTTCAAGATCAGTCAGGCGTTGCAGCCTGCACATTTCTCTTGCTTATGGCCATTCACTCAAGCCTCATCACTGTTTCACCTTAGCTGGGGTGAGATTGCCTTCGTGGAACAAGTGGCAGCGCTTGGAGAAACATCCAGGGGTCAGCAAACTAAATGCCTGCAACAGTGATAAAATAATTTGTCGCTCTGGCTGTGAAACTCAGTACATGATTGTACCTGCAAGAGCCGTGTAGACTCTACACGTAGTGCTGTAGCCTGTAGTGATGCACGCGCAGGCGCCGAACCATGGTATACCAGTGATGCTGAAAAAGAGGGCGCGCTGGACGTGATAGTACACTTACCAGGCTGCATGAGCTGTGACCACACAGCTAAAATAAATGGGCAAGCCACTGCTAAAAAAGGTCATTTCAAGATTGAGGTGATTCCGCCGACGGTAATCAACCGACCTCGCAACATACGTGTATTCTTACTGGGCTTCGTTGGTGGTGAAGTAGAAATCATCCAGAGCTAGCAGACGACAAGCATAGCAGCTCTTGTCCTGTGGAGAAAGTCAAAGTGTTTGAGATGAGGCGCGACCAACTTTCAACCTTCCTTGAAATATTTCGGAACGATATTTTTGCGTCCATTGACACCAGCGACGACGAGGACTTTCATCTCTGCATGAAAACTCTCAGTCCAACTGCCCTGGAACGTTACTCTGGTCTTCAGACTATCATACTGTGTAATAAGTTTTGAATGGCTTTTCTTATGGAGTTGTCAGTAACAAGTGACAAGTCACTAGTCACTACAAACTGCGACAATTTTGATGACGCGGAGGAAGTATTTGTTGTATGCGATGTTGTGTGATCCGGGAAACATGAACTTTTCCTAACACATTGCTACCAAATATTTGCCTACTCATAGAATGAGCCTAGCCATCCGTTTTCCACATAAATATACAGATAGGCGAGGGAACAGGATAATCGAACACACATGCTGTATGTATTCATGCATGGTATATGCTGTAAATCGGTAACCAACGATTTTCTTCCTGATGGCGAGGGGTCCGGATAAAAGAGGACCGGATAGGCGAGGTCTGACTGCTGTGCTACAGCACTGCTGAATGAAATCCAGCCGTGGCACTCAGGTACGCGCCGGGGCGTTGCCCAGCCCTACAGTCCATTTCAAAACTATACGCGTACCTAGGCAAAAACCGTTATGCCAGCATCTATACCACATAAAATCTGTGATCACTTTGTGCATACATTTCTCCAAATTAGGCGTCTGTTATCCAATCGTTTAGAAACTATAGGAGAGTAATTGTGGAGCGGTCCTGAGCAATATTCCGAAAACTATTCTCAAAAGGTCCAGCCAAATATTTCAAAAACCCTACGCGTCTGTAGTTTTGAAATGGACTGTAGACCTGCCAACACTGGGCTGCAGAAGAAGGTGCACATTTGAGTGACATGACTGGATTTCATTGAGCAGCACTGGATGACTGCCATTTGCTGGTGCCTTGACCAGACTGTTGGCTCTGCAGGAGCTATACGCCTGAGCTCTATTCGAACATGGTTAAATCACCTGCCAGCACACATGTAGAATATAACACATAGCATTGGAGCATAGCACGCCATACTTACTTGCACAGGCAACATTATGCAAATCTTCGCGGGACGCAGTACCTTGGTCAAGGAATACCCGTCTCAGCCCGAATGGCTCGGCAAACATCCGGAACCACACAAAGTCACTGATATTCGAATTCTTGGCTGCCTGGACAATCATATCTTTTTCCTTCGTTCTACTTGGTATCGCTAACCCTAGCTGAGAACATAATGAAGCGGCCCTGGAAAAACTCATTGCCGGATAATTGACTGGATCAAGTATGAGAAGATTGCCTCCGTACTCTCCTGCAGAACGACAGTACACAAAAGTAGAATGTGCACACCGTTGGTAAAGCCATGACATCGTTGGTAAATCCATGAGTAAACTTGAAGATGGGTGATGCTTGGGTTAAAGGGTGATGCTCGGGTTAAAGAGCACCACACGTTGACTTGGACAAGTATCAGGTGAAATGTACATAAGATCTGCTTTCGGGATCAACGGCGCAACAGTCCATTCACCTGAGCCAGTCTCGTTGGCTCTTGAAAGCCCAATTTTGACAGAATCGAGGCACAAAAATCCGGGTTTTGAATCCGCTTCTCCACACATTTTGCCATGGAGTACCTGTCCAAATTTTGGTAAAACCAGGCTGATGTTCTAATTCCCTGTGTCCTTTGACTTTTCTGGTATCAGATTCGGTTAGGAATAATTGCACGTTCCACGCAATGCAGGATGAACTGTTGTTTTCATGATAGCTATAAGTGCACGCACTGTGAAGCGATTAACTTTCGCGGTGCGCAAAGTTTGCGTTTTCATGAATTGGGCTGGTTCACGATGAGAAACTTTGGCGATTTTATCTCTTCATTTGGATCTGTTACAGTCTACAATCAATGTACAGAGCAGTTTGCGGCGATTTATATTCACCAATGTGTGATGGTCGCGAAAATAGTGAAATTTTATCTCTAGCGAAAGCTTCTCACTTGACAGTACCGTAAAGTCTTGTATAACAGCCGCGGCTTCTATGACTTTCTTGGTGAAATGTTGCAGGCTTCTATATGAGACACGCTTCTATACAAGACAGGTATCTCTATGTATGTCAACACTAAAACCAGGCTTATGTGTGATTTGATGGGCCCAAAATTGCGGCTTCTATTCGAGGGCGGCTTTTCTACAAGACTTTACGGTATATGTGGTGTAACTGGAGTCCCACTAAAATAATAGGGTACCACTTTCCTATGAATGGACTGTAGCCAAAGCTCTCCACGGGCGCCAGACTTCGTTTCTAGAGCAAGTAGATAGGATGTTATGATATGGAGAAGCACATTGGGAATGTACTAAAAATATGCAAACTCTACAGGATTCTATCTACGGCGTGCTAGTGTGCAAGAACAAGACCGCAAGAGTGAGCAATGGAGCGAGTACCAACATTTGTTGCTACAGCTGTACCCTTGTTAGTACGACATTGGTTACAAGACCAAACTCAGTAGCAGACAATGGTCAAAATCCACTGACACCTGAAACACGTACATTCACGTCCGGGCAGTAGATAGTACTCGTTATAAGATAAACAATCTGAAACCCTCGTTGTTGTCCACTAACGAGGGTAATTATTTTTTTCCTATTTTCGCACACAATATTTTTTTGGCTACCGTTCTGCTTTCGTTTCGAGTGAATTTTTCAAGTACAATTAGTAGTAGAATGAAGCTGAAGACACCACTGCAGCTGTACTTGTGGTTGATTAATATGGTGATTTCCTGATAAGTCCAGCGAGGACGAAATGTCGTTGCTATTTCATCTTCTATGTGCCATGCGCTACTTGATGTACCAGCCTGCTATGTCGGATACCACCAACCATGCATCGACTAGGCGCCAGGCACGAACTGATGGTGGTGGTGGTGAGAAGGAGAGCTCTGTGCCAGAACTTTGCAGCCTAGAGAGCGTGTGTGGGCAGGCGTGTGTTTACTGCCATATTGCCAGGTGTGTCTTTACCACCATATTTATCAACCACAACTAGTAGTAGTATAAAATATACTTTTTTCGTGCAAATTTTCGCATTTTTAATTTTTTGGTATTTTGGTAAAAAAAACGGGTAGACCTGTTCATTGTTTTCCACACATCCTCCTTACAGTGTCTGCTCTAGGATTTCAAACCAATCGGGTACACGAGTAGATCTACCTGGCACAACTCTTGCAACCGAGTCAGTACCGGGTACAAGACTCAAGTGCGGCTATTGTACATCAGGGAGCATTAGAACGCCCTGACTGGGTCCCAACCGGGTCACAATTGACCCCCGGTGTTCTTTTCCCATGCGGTCCCAACCCCAACTGGGTCGCCGAAACGGCTGACCCGGCTCTGGAGTAGGCGCTGGTTTAAAGCACCGTAGCGATGAAGCCAGTCATGGCAGATAAAGGCTAGAGTGAAGCCACCACGCCCAGACAATATGTTTTAAAAGCAGGAAGGCTTGGAAATCGCTACAATTTCCCCTGGTAATTAAAGTACGAATGAAGCCGCTATGCCCGGAAAACTCGGCTTCCCAGCAGAGTCTCACTCAGACTGTGAAATTATTTATTACACCCGGACAATACGTTAATTCAGCAGGTAGGTTTGGGAATCACTACAATTTCCCCTGGTAATTACACTCAAACATCTCTTATCTGGACTACTCAGATGTTGGCAAGTCTCTGCACCTGCCACCTTCAACTTGAGTTGCTATGACAAAAAGTGCACTGTTCTCGAATTTTTCCTCAATGGCGTGCATGCACATGCTCCTTTTTAAATGTCTTGTCCTTGCCAATCTCTGCAGTTCACACATTCAAAATCGATGGATTCTTTTTTAAATCTGGGACAAGTGCAATACATGCCAACTTCATCAAAGCTTGCAGTAGTATGATGCACGGCAGGTGGGATTATCCTGACGTGCAGGAAAATCTGATATGTCCATTCATCGGAAACTGTCCCGCTGGCTTTTGAAAGTCGGATTTGGGTCGAATTGAGGATCAAAAACTCACTTTAAATCTCAAAAATTTGGGTTTTGGATCTGCTTCTCCATACATTTTGCCATGGCACACCGACCGGTCCGAATTTTGTAAAACCTGGCTGAATTTCTATTTCCCTGTTCTTGGACTTTTCTGGCCTCAAATGTGGCAAGGAGTAATTGCACGGGTCACACAATGCAGGATGTATTGTTGTTTTCACGATATCTACAACTACGTGAGAGAGACACCAAAAAGTTAGGGCCTGGTCAGACTGCGGCAAAATCGAAATAATCCTGGGATTATAATCCAAATCTCCATAGTAACTTGCCACCAGAGCGGCAAAAGCGAGAGTTGACGCTCCAAAAAAAAAGCTAGAACGGACCACGCTTTTCCGCTCCAAACAGGATTTGGCGCTGATACGCCATTGACGCTGATAATCACTGATTTTTTCATCTCAATATCGAGTTGCTAATTGGCCACGGACAACAACAAAACTCATAACTTTTTTTATTAAGGATGGTTGCAAGGATTGCACTGAAGGTGTTGGCGATCCCCAAGGTGAAAGAATTTGACGTCGTTCGTGGAGATTACCACTTGACGCTCGAAATGAAGTTTGAATTTTCATTCTCCTCACATGTGTAGTGTGATCGCGATTCAAATTCTGGACGCTTTTCCGTTTTCGCCAGGCAACCAACATTTGCCGCAGTCTGACCAGGCCCTTAGGGTGCCAGTTTCCAATGAATGGACTGTAGCTACTTACTGGCGCAAGCTGATTGGAATGGTTGGTAGCCAGGACTACAGCACGCGAAGGAGCCGGGAGTGTTGGAGCATGACGTTGATGTCAGACTGCAGTTGCCGCTCGTGGGCCCAGCGCATTCATCAATATCTGCAGTATAAGCATAGTTGAACCACAACTGGTGTGTTGTTACCTTCTCATCCAGGCAACCGCCGTACAGCAACGCAAACTCTTGATTGTGCGTCTCCTTTCATATCATTTCTTATATAGACAATAAACGACGAGGGTGCAGGAGGAGAAAGGAAATGCAAGACCGAAACAAAAAGGTGAAGGGAGAAGACACGAAGAAACTTCAAAGAACAAGCAATGATAAAGTGACGCCAAATCAGGATGACCATTCAGCGACCAATGCATACAGAGTACATGACTTAGACCAAGACAACCAGACCACGGACGAATCACACATGACTCTCACTCCCAGACCAAAACTAGCACTGCGCATGCACGCGTGCCTGTCACGCTCTCCAGGCCAGGATGTCAGTTGCCCCTGCCACAGTTCCGGTCTTCGGGTCGCTGCGCTTGGCTTTTGGCAACACAGACAGTGAATGGCCAGATTCCCACTTCCCAAAAAAGTCGAATACACCACGATTCAAAGCGCTAATCGCGATCATTTTTCTTTGGTGCCTCCTTTGATCTTGCCATCAAGATCTCCCGAGCAAAAGTAAGTTAGGCGGTGTTTACATGAGGCGTTTCAACCCGGGTTGAGTTCGACCCGGGTCAGATTTGAACCCGCCATGTGCATAAATTGAATGGCGCGTTTACATGACGCAATTGCGCTTGACCCGGGTTGAAATTTCGACCCGGGTTGATTTCAACCCTCCCCCAAAGGAAATCAACCCGGGTCAAGAAAATCGTACAAACGTACTTCTGTGCGTATCTCGCACCAGGTTTGAACTTCAACTGTCTTCAACTGTCTTCATGTAAACGCTCACCTCTTTTGTCTATCGTACAGACTTTCAACCCGGGCTGAACTCGACCTGGGTTGAAATTTCTCATGTAAACACAGCCTTAGATATCGTGATTGGACTGGGTTTTACCTGTCAAAAAGTGCGGGGGGGGGGGGGATAAGCGACAATTGCGATGAGCCGGACCAAGTAAATGCAACCATCTGTAACAATTCTCACCCCAGTCCCAGCGAATATTTCCTGCGCTGCGTGCTCGAGAGATGGCTTCACCAGAAGAACTGTTTTTTTCCCGGATTGTGGTGGTACCCATAGTCGGGTCCCAGCTGCAATAACTTAGACCAGACCAGTAAAGGGATGTGGCTTGAAGGGTGCCAGCAGCGGAATCATCATCAGCGTACCACAGCTGGGTGGTGCTTGGACATTCGTGTGAAAGTTTGTTTATAAGAGGCATAACAGCAACAGTGTAAATGGCCATCGCAAAGGGGTCGCCCTGGCAGATCCCCTCATGGGAAAGAAATTCGCCCCCATCCGCTACGAAGAGGCGGCACGGCATCTATCAGCAGCACGGCTTCGGTTTCAGGAAGACTTTCAATAACCTTCATTATAGCTCGCCCTATAATCTCCTCCCCAACAGCTTTGGGTCTAACCCCTGGGGTTTTATCAATGGGGATCAGGCGGGCGGCAGTGAATGCCTCCATGAAACTCGGCTCGATATTCGCAGTACACAATACGTGTGCCGAATCCGCCAATGCAATGCAATGTCGGTTGGAAGCTGGGCCGAAGCACGTTAGCATCCTGGTCCAGGCCTCCAAGTCTAATCCGGACGAACCAGCGTCGCCTTCATGGACCTGCTAACAAACTTGATGAGGCTTGGCGTGATGCGCTCGAAGAGTATTGGGTTCACCCGCTGTGAGTCGGCTGGCACCACCAATGAGCCAGGAACCGCCAGTGAAGATGACGGGTGCTTGTCATACAGTACCTCACGCACAGTCTTGTCACCACCAGCCGAGTCCTCCATCCCGAGCACTGAGCCAGGTGAGTCATCACCCACGATCCGCGCTGCAGAGTTAATCTTCCCTGTGAATACTTGTCGACTGAAGGTTGTATCATTCACTGTATCAGGCAGTTTCTGGCGACGGTTTCCAGCGGGTAGGTGTGCTTGAATACATCTTGCTTCGTCCAGGAAGTCCTCAAACCTGCCACATGACCACGATTTCAAACTTCGCGCGATTTGGGTTGCATTCTCAGCAGCTCGGGATTCCGGGTGAGGTCGCTGTAAAAGTGTAAAATCAACACTACTCCCAACCCCACCTGCACATGTGCACACACACATAAGACTTGTGTGACTTTTAAAAGAGAGCATGTCTGAGAAAACCAGAACATATGTGCAAGTAGGTCTCTCAGATTTTGCTCGAATTTTGCAGGTAGGTTTGCTTTGGGGTGTAGATCGACATTCCAAAGCCCGCGCAAAACCTTTTGAAGGGAACCATGAAATTGGCATACCCCTCAATATTGGCCCAATATTGGCACGATTTATGAGTCTACAAACGAGCCACGGCACAGCGTACAAAAACAAGCTACGAACAAAACTCCATCAAGCCAACATTACCTCACCTTAGAAGACTTCTTGGGGCAGCACCACTTAGCCACGCCAGCATCCCAGATGACGAGGGCAATCATCCCTTGACGCCACAAATGATCGTCTTGAAAATAGCCCAATTGCAAGCGCTGATAAAACAGCGAGCTACGTCCTCAATTAGCAAACACTATACTGCGGCAGGAGATTGGAGCGGACGACTTCACTGGTCCGAGTTCGAGGATCTCAAAATTCTCTATACGCCGTGAGCAAGAGTGCATAAACAAGAGTATGCAACTGTGGTTATGGGTCAGTGCGCGGCGCGCTGCCTTCATTACGTAACTTGCCTTCATCACGCTCTGAAAGCATGCATTCAAACTCACAATTTCTCGTACGAGCCCATCTGTTTTTGCTCGATTCGTTCCAGTACCTACGCAATCTCTAAATTCTGGCGCTTGAACTCCAGTTCCGTACGAAGGTTCATTTCAAACCAGAGGAAAAGTGCGGTGTTTGATTTTCCGCAGTGCGCGGACTGCAGCTGAATGATGTAATGAAGGCAGCGCGCCGCGCATCTGGCCCATAGAAAAGAGATCACAGTTGCATACTCTTGTTTATGGACTCTTGCCGTGAGGCATATGGTCAGAACAGTTTTGTTAAGACAAGCCGACGCGAAGTCGGGGTGATGTGTAACGCATGTCAAAGGGCTGCCAATGCTAACAGCTGCAGCGCCCTCTCGACAGTGAAGGTAATCGACTGCCCTCTACATAACCCCACATTTTTGGCAGAAACACCAATCTTTATTTGATTGTCGACCAGTGAAGTTGTCCGCTCCAATTTTCTGGCCCTCACCAGGCTGCGCTTCTACCAGGGGCACCTCAGGAGGTCCTCCATGTTCCTTAGAGTATTGTCGCAGTTGTAAAGCTTGGGAATGTTGACCAAACATTGTTTTTCATCACCAGAAATTCAAAGAACTAAGATCTTCAAATGCAGAGAATTTGAATACTAATCACACGTGACTTCATTAAAACCATCAAAAGAGGAGACAAACTTGGCCCTCCCTGGCTTCTTATATCGACTTTTGGGGTCTAGTTTCCGCGATTTCCCATCTCTCGGGGGCCATATAAGGCCCCCATGAAGAGAACACACAATAGAAAAAAATTCTCGGAGTGCCCCTTTAACCCTTATCCGCCCGACCAGCCAAATATCTACGACTATCCTTCGATCAGTAAATCCATCATATCTCAGTCATTTCTTGACCAAATTTCACGATCGAAGGGTCTATCGCCATTTAATAGAAAACAGCGTCTCGAACAATCGCCGAAGAGCTACGACACTCCCTTGCAACGATATCGTCCGCCGAAAGTAAAATCACGGCAATTGCAATTTTTCTGCGTTCGGGAACATTTCAAAGTCAGATTTTTTATTTTTGCATGACATGTTCTGTACACAAAAATTCAAAGTCCAGCGATGGGGGAGAGTGATATGGCAAGACAAGACGTGGCCAGGGCATGTGTGGAAAGAACGTACCTGTACAGGAAAATCCATGTCCAGTAAATCCAGGCTTGCAAACACATGAGAATGTCCCAGTCTGATTAGTACAGTGAGCATCACTGCTGCATGTAAAATTCAGTTTTTCGCATTCATTAAGTTCTGGACAGGGGTAAACACCAAGGCATGAACAACAATGTCTTATTGTGGACAGAGAGAGAGAGAGCGAGAGAGTTTTGGAATTTCGGAACCCCGACACAACACACTTTCTAGTTCTTCAAAAACAGTTCTAAGTTTTGAAACTGAAAGAGAGAGAGAGAGAGCGAGAGAGAGAGAGAGAGAGAGAGAGAGCGAGAACGAGAGAGGGAGAGAGAGAGAGAAAGAGGGAGAGAGAGAGAGAAAGAGAGAGAGAGAGAGAGAGAGGGAGAGAGAGAGAGAAAGAGAGAGAGAGAGAGCGAGGGAGAGAGAGAGGGTGCGAGATGGAAAGAGAGAGAGAGAGAGAGGGAGAGAGAGAGCGAGAGAGAGAGAGAGAGAGAGAGAGAGAGAGAGAGAGAGAGAGAGAGAGAGAGGGAGAGAGATAGGTAGAGAGACAGGTATAGAGAGAGAGAGAGAGAGAGATAGGTAGAGAGAGAGGTATATATATATATATATAGAGAGAGAGAGAGAGAGAGATAGTTCGTTTCAAGGGGTCACCAATTGATGCGTCTAGCACATCTACATTCTAAAATCCACCGGGAATCCACAGGAAAACTGCTCATACTACATTGTTATTATTCATTGCAAAAGAACACCGAAAGGCCAAACCGCATGGTGAAGACTAATGGCGAATGACTACTGAAGGATTCGAAGGGTCTATCGCCATTTAATAGAAAACAGCGTCTCGAACAATCGCCGAAGAGCTACGACACTCCCTTGCAACGATATCGTCCGCCGAAAATAAAATCACGGCAATTGCAATTTTTCTGCGTTCGGGAACATTTCAAAGTCCGATTTTTCTTTTTTACATGACATGTTCTGTACACAAAAATTCAAAGTCCAGCGATGGGGGAGAGTGAAATGGCAAGACAATTTGGATTCTGCCCGCAGATCTGGCGCTGGGGCAAGTTTGGCAAGTGGGGGCGCTCGACTTGTGGCTTTATAGATGTTGAATGTGGGCTCTGTGCATTCGTCGCTGACGGACCTTTCTAAGAAGCGCAAGATCATGGAATCGGCCGATGGTGAAGTTTTGATAATTTGAAGGTAAAATATGTCGTGAAATTGCAATTTGGGCCTGCGCAGCGATTTTGATAATGCGTAAATGATCACCGGTGCACTGCAGGCAGTCATCTTGGGTATATGTCATTTCCGGTACATTCCTCGTTTGCCAAACAATATGAGCCGCCTGCCAAATTCAATATAAAAAAAAGAAAAAAAGTTGTGACTGAAGACGTGGCCAGGGCATGTGTGGAAAGAACGTACCTGTACAGGAAAATCCATCTCCAGTAAATCCAGGCTTGCAAACACATGAGAATGTCCCAGTCTGATTAGTACAGTGAGCATCACTGCTGCATGTAAAATTCAGTTTTTCGCATTCATTAAGTTCTGGACAGGGGTAAACACCAAGGCATGAACAACAATGTATAATTGTGGACAGAGAGAGAGAGAGAGAGAGCGAGAGAGTTTTGGAATTTCGGAACCCCGACACAACACACTTTCTAGTTCTTCAAAAACAGTTCTAAGTTTTGAAACTGAGAGAGAGAGAGAGAGAGAGAGAGAGAGAGAGAGAGAGAGAGAGAGAGAGCGAGAGTGAGAGAGCGAGAACGAGAGAGGGAGAGAGAGAGAGAGAGAGAGAGAGAGAGAGAGAGAGAGAGAGAGAGAGAGATAGAGAGAGAGAGAGAGAGAGAGAGAGAGGGAGGGAGAGAGGGAGAGAGAAAGTGAGAGAGAGCAAGGGAGAGAGAGAGGGTGCGAGATAGAAAGAGAGAGAGAGAGAGAGGGAGAAAGAGAGAGGGAGAGAGAGAGACAGGTAGAGAGAGATATATATGAGCCCCAGCCAGCAGAAACCTGAACATGTGTAATTTTTTCAAAAATTATTTTTCGCTCGAAATCGATTCTACACTATTAACCATTCAAGTTATCAAGTTTGGTGACAATCTGATAAGCGAAAGCATGGAAAATAGAGTTTGAAGTCACACAGGTCAAGATTCGGTACAGTTGGCGCAGCATCCATGCCCAGTGACTCCATGCAAGTTGATGCTACAGTTTCTGATTGTGATGTGGAACAGGTACATGTTAGTAAATAGAATGCAAGTCAGGCTTGCCCTCTTGATGCTGCAGGCATGAGTAGTTCAGAAGTGTGACGATATTCCGTATACACCACTACCTTCTTTACAACACCAGAGTGCAAAACGATGATTGGTGGCTGGCCTTCCAAATTGTGTTCAGGGACCTCTGTGCTGGCAGTTTGAGCATTATCCCAAAGCTTGCCATACTGATAGATGAACTGACCAATACCACTGACATCCACTCCCTTGCACACTTTCACTCAGACCATGATTTCAGCATAATTGCATTTCAATGATATGAGCGAATACTCGCGTTTTGTAGCACGTGAAGATGTTGCCCCAAAGCATTCAGCCAGTTTGACTTTTAGGAATCCCCTTTCTCAGCACAGGCAGCAGCCAGCTTGGCGTCGTCTGGCAAGGTAGAGTACTGATAATACTACGCTCTGTTTTGCGCCGTGAGAAGCCCTCCATGAGTGTCTGCAACATCATTGTTGTCGATGTAGAAATACGGATCGCTCAGCGGGTCGACATTCAGCTTCTCCTCGCAGTCGCTATTACTCCAGCACTGACTAGCGTCGCCACCAGTATCCAGTGTCGATTTTATGAGGGCTCTTCGTTGCTATGAATATGAGACTCACCACTGCTGGACAAACTCAGCGAGATCGCCACCAAAGAAATAATTCCGATCGCGAACTAACTTTCAGCGTCGCTTCGTACAGGGAGTCTCACGCTGACAACTCTGGACCTAAGTCCTTGTCGCGACACCTGTCGCCATCGCTGTGTCTAAACTCAACCTCCGTTTGACGAGCTCTCACCTAGGGCTAAAATCAATTGACCAGACTCATTTGAAGACATTTGAAACTCCTTTGACAACAAAGACACCCACTCGATCGAAAAGGAATCTTCAAAAGCCAGCTCACTGCGCGTCCCAAACTTTGACGTCACATTTTGATGATTGATATCAAGTACACAAGTGCTGGTTTTCGCAGGCCGGGGCTCATATATATATATATATATATTTAAATGGAGACGTAGGCGAACAAATTTTATATACACACAACCACAAGGTTGTCAATTTCATAATACTAAAAGCTTTTCACCTATTTTCATCAGTAGTTACATGGGAATGAGCAAGAACGAAAACGAAGCCAGAATTTATACTGGGGGTAGAGAATCAGCAAGAAAATTCTTACATGCCTCAAGTTCACACTACACTACCATAAGAATGTATGGAGCAGTGGAAACATGCGGGAAACAACACATGAGGGGAATGCAGCACCAGAACAAACACGTGATAAAGTTGTCAGTCCGGTTGCAGCTTGAACAGCCATAGCACCTTGATGTGCTTCTTTTGTCGACACAGTTCTGGCCTCAAACTGCGAATGTACAGCGCCTCCAGTGTGAATCGGTGCGCGCTGTTCCGGGCTGGTGTGATGACGCTGAAGCTGCTGTTGCGTTCCTGCGGGATGCATTCTGGCTGCGCCTGCAAATGCTTTGTGATGGCGCTATCACTTGTTGCCACACGTTTGTCAGGCGGTTTCTTGTACAGCTTGTCTGGGATATGCTGCTTGATCCTTTCCGAGAATCGCTGACATGTCTCACCAACGTACGTCCGCTCACAGCAACACGCATACTTATAAATAAAATTACTATTTTCAAGAGTTGGTGAAACATCCTTCGCGATAGACCTGAATGCGGGTCTGGTTGTATAAATTACAATGGGCGATACTGTAGGATAGCAGTTCAAAATTGCAGCTTTAATCTTTTTGCGGAAGGCAATGCAATTTTGCCCTTTCCACGGCAATTTTGTGATAATACGCGTTGCAGATTCAAGTTGTGCAGAAGCTGTATCTGGGCTATAGTCTGTTTCAAAAAGATTAGCAATCAGGTTTTGGTCTTAAAAAGTATGAAGATAAGGGAAAATTGGACAACGAAGTACATAAAAGGGCTGGTTAGGGCACGGCAAATTGTTCTGTGAAGGTTTCGGAACAATTGGACCAGCCGTTAAAGAGTTAGAATTTCGGCCAGGTTTCCGGCCTTTTCCCATGGTTTACAATTTGCCCTGGAAGCCAGTATCGATTTTTCTATCAAAACCCACGATTTATCTTTTCCTTTCTGGCCTTGTGGTTATGGATGCTGTCTGCTGACCATGAAGTTGCGAGTTCAAATCCCAACCTATCTTCAACTCACACTTTTTTTCATTGTTTTTTTGGTGATCAAGCAGACTTGTTGTTCACGGTTGTTGTTGTTGGAGCTCCCGCTTCCTCTCGAACTGACTGACACTTGACTGGCTCACGCCATGTGAACACACCCTCAACACTGAAACGGTGTGAGTGAATACGGAAGTCATTGCGCTGTAGCTACATGTACGTGTTGAATTTTTTTTTAAACTTTTTTTTTAACTTTTTTTTTTTTTTTTTGTACATCTAGTAGACTATGTAGTAAATTGACCAAAAAGAAACAAAGAAAAATGATGAATACACCGGCACATCGATCGATCGATTTCTTTTTGAGAATTATTTTAGTATTTTCAAGATCGCCAATTTGTTTGAATTTAGAAGTCAACGCCGTCTTCTATCAGCTTCCACAGGCGTCTGCTTTTCTCAAAATGTTGTCGAAGTCATACGGATAGCTTCGCCAAGTCATGGCCTTGGGAATGAGTCTGTGTCGATGTCGTTTTCGTCACATGGTGAGAGTAAATTGCATCGCAGCTCAAAGAAACTATTTGGTCACAAAACATATTGGGACCCATGCCGCTCGTCAGCCTTGGCATTTACTACACTTTCGACATGTCCTCTCTGACTCCAGTCCATAATCGATACGAGGAAGAACTCGTTTGTTGTGAACCAGACGTACTGACATCGACCTGAGTGAGTTGTCATTTTTCATGCTTTCGCGCGGAATATTTCTTCGAGTTCACAGTGAGTTTTTGCAGGCGGCGCTCGAGCGCTCATACGGTAAGACGGCAAACTCCCCGGCCCGGGCGTTCACCAGGATTGCTAATCTTTTTGAAACTGACTGTAGGTTCAAGAACGCTTGTCATGACTCGCTTGAGTACTTTGAGTGGGTAACCGTTAGAACACAGAATATCCTCTAGCTTAGCAATTTCAGCTGATAATAGTGATGGTGAGCAGATGGTTTTAGCTCTAAAAGTTAATGATCTGATCAAATTGATTTTGTTTCTAGTGTCACAAAACGAGTCCCAGCGGGTGTAAAGACCTGTGAACGTCAGCTTTCTATATACTGTGGTGAGCAATTCTGTGGAAGAATGCTTAATCAATACATCACGAAACGGTAATTCTCCATTATTCTCCTCCTCCATTGTAAACTGGAGAGCTGGGTGAAGATTATTTAAACGCTCAGAGAATTCCAATGCCAGTTTCCGGTTGTGAAATGCTGCGAATGTGTCATCCACATAACGCCTATAGAATTGGGGCCAATGACTGTCTGGAATTGTGTTCTCAAAATATCCAACAAAGATATTGGCTATATATATATATATATATAGAGAGAGAGAGAGCGAGAGAGAGATAGTTCGTTTCAAGGGGTCACCAATTGATGCGTCTAGTACATCTCAATTCTAAAATGCACCGGGAATCCACAGGAGAACTACTCGTACTACACTGTTATTATTCATTGCAAAAGAACACCGAAAGGCCAAACCGCATGGTGAAGACTAATGGTGAATGACTACTGAAGGATTCGAAGGGTCTATCGCCATTTAATAGAAAACGCCGTCTCGAACAATTGCCGAAGAGCTACGACACTCCCTTGCAACGATATCGTCCGCCGAAAGTAAAATCACGGCAATTGCAATTTTTCTGCGTTCGGGAACATTTCAAAGTCAGATTTTTCTTTTTTACATGACATGTTCTGTACACAAAAATTCAAAGTCCAGCGATTGGGGAGAGTGAAATGGCAAGACAATTTGGATTCTGCCCGCAGATCTGGCGCTGGGGCAAGTTTGGCAAGTGGGGGCGCTCGAATTGTGGCTTTATAGATGTCGAATGTGGGCTCTGTGCATTCGTCGCTGACGGACCTTTCCAAGAAGCGCAAGATCATGGAAACAGCCAATGGTGAAGTTGTGATAATCTGAAGGTAAAATATGTCGTGAAATTGCAATTTGGGCCTGCGCAGCGATTTTGATAATGCTTAAATGATCACCGGTGCACCGCAGGCAGTCATCTTGGGTATATGTTATTTCCGGTACATTCCTCGTTTCCCAAACAATATGAGCCGCCTGCCAAATTCAATATAAAAAAAAGACAAAAGTTGGGACTGAAGACGTGGCCAGGGCATGTGTGGAAAGAACGTACCTGTTTGATAAGAGGAAGTGACTACTGGATTTTGTGGATGGGCGGTGTTGCATGCGAAAGTACTGATCGCGAAACTGTTTTTCATCGCCTCCAAACTACCGCTTGAATAATAATAATAATAATAATAATAATAATAATAATAAAAGGGTTCATTTCACTCACCTTTTGTAGTAGCTCACACCGTCGGAAAACTCTCACATCTTTTCTTCTAATTTCTTTCGTCTTCTCTCCCACTTTATTTATTTTTTTCACACCTCACCTTGTATACTTCCCACTATCCGATAACCTATAAGTAGTTTGTTTCTCCGTATAGCCTCTATTGTGAGACGATTTTCCCTGATGATAGTCTCAAGAAAATCGATTAGGAACAACCATTTTAGATACATGTATTCTCATTCATCATTTTGTAATGTCCGCTTCACTTATACTATTAATCGCATTAATAAAGTTGTTGTCTCCTCGTCGCCTTTTAATAATAAAAGGGTTTGCTCCCCACACCGGAGCTCGCGCTATTCCGCCGACTTTACTTGACACTTGACTGACTCACGACTGCCATCCAGAGCACACGAGAAGTCCATCGAACCTTCGACTCGGCAAACCTGCAAGAAAGCACCACTCCCTGCTCAATACACAGTGTTTCGGGGAATTCACCCCTCATCAGTTGAGCTTGAGTAGGCTGAGGAAGATTGTGCCTGAAGAGCACCACTTATATAGTGCTCTCCAGGCACGACCATCACCAGGGATACAAACTTACAGAGACGCTCCGTTTTCAGCGCGACAAACACATCGTGAGCACCAGATAGCAGCGTGAGTCAGTGTCGCTCCTGGACGGTGAGACAGACGTTGAGGACCCTCGGTCATTCGCAACGCTGTCACTTACAAATCATCGCCGAGGTCGCAACCACTACTTCGTACTGTTGTGCCCAGCGCGGGCTTGCGACTAGTTGGTTTGGAGGTGACAGCGTTGCGAATGACCGAGGGTCCTCGACGTCTGTCTCACCGTCCAGGAGCGACACTGACTCACGCTGCTATCTGGTGCTCACGAGGTGTTTGTCGCGCTGAAAACGGAGCGTCTCTGTAAGTTTGTATCCTTGGTGATGGTCGTGCCTGGAGAGCACTATATAAGTGGTGCTCTTCAGGCACAATCTTCCTCAGCCTACTCAAGCTCAACTGATGAGGGGTGAATTCCCCGAAACACTGTGTATTGAGCAGGGAGTGGTGCTTTCTTGCAGGTTTGCCGAGTCGAAGGTTCGATGGACTTCTCGTGTGCTCTGGATGGCAGTCGTGAGTCAGTCAAGTGTCAAGTAAAGTCGGCGGAATAGCGCGAGCTCCGGTGTGGGGCGCAAACCCTTTTCTTACAAATCATCGCCGAGGTCGCAACCACTACTTCGTAATAATAATAATAATAATAATTTGGAAAGGATTGGGAGAACTTCATATTCAAAGGATCAGTCGGGGAAGTGAACTGCCTGAAAAGAGAAAAAAACGCCAGACCCACCAGGACTCGAACCTGGGACCCTGCTTGTCATGAGCAATGCTCTAACCACTGAGCTATGGTCCCAGGTTCGAGTCCTGGCGGGTCTGGCGTTTTTTTCTCTTTTCAGGCAGTTCACTTCCCCGACTGGTCCTTTGAATAATGATAATAATAATAATAATTTGAAACTCGGGTATTGAGCCAATAATAAAAGTAGAAGGGAAAAGGACATATGGAAACGAGTTAAGAGTAACTCTCCACCACTGTAACTAGATACTATAATTATACAGTCAGAAAGTGCAACAACGAGGCACAAAACTGACAGAGTACTGAGACATTCGACGTCCTGACACCTAGCTTCAACACATCTCCGTAGCGCTAACCGACAGCCTTCCAACTTGGAAGGTTCAAGGTTATGGAAAGACCAAAGAGGGGAAGGCAAGCGCAACGAAAACGAGCACAAGCTACAGTCCTAACGGAACAAAGAATGTCGATTGTCACTGTACGATGACGAGACCAGTAGGCGATTTGACAAAGCGGTCTAACTACAATTTGAAGCAGCAAAGCAGCACACCACCCAACTTCCCCTCTTTGGTCTTTCCATAACCTTGAATCTTCCCAGTTGGAAGGCTGTCAGTTAGTGCTACGGAGATGTGTTGAAGCTAGGTGTCAGGACGTCGAATGTCTCAGTACTCTGTCAGTTTTGTGCCTAGCTGTTGCACTTTCTAACTGTATAGTTACAGTGGTGGAGAGTTACTCTTAACTCGTTTCCATATGTCCTTTTCCTTTCTACTACTACTACTACTACTACTACTACTACTACTACTACTACTACTACTACTACTACTACTACTACTACTACTACTACTACTACTACTACTACTACTACTACTACTACTACTACTACTACTACTACTACTACTACTACTACTACTACTACTACTACTACTACTAATAATAATAATAATAATACGAAGTAGTGGTTACGTCTTCGGCGATGATTTGTAAGAAAGGTTTGCTCCCCACACCGGAGCTCGCGCTATTAGTTGGTTTGGAGGTGACAGCGTTGCGAATGACCGAGGGTCCTCGACGTCTGTCTCACCGTCCAGGAGCGACACTGACTCACGCTGCTATCTGGTGTTCACGAGGTGTTTATCGCGCTGGAAGCGGAGCGTCTCTGTAAGTTTGTATCCCTGGTGATGTTTGTGCCTGGAGAGCACTATATAAGTGGTGCTCTTCAGGCACAATCTTCCTCAGCCTACTCAAGCTCAACTGATGAGGGGTGAATTCCCCGAAACACTGTGTATTGAGCAGGGAGTGGTGCTTTCTTGCAGGTTTGCCGAGTCGAAGGTTCGATGGACTTCTCGTGTGCTCTGGATGGCAGTCGTGAGTCAGTCAAGTGTCAAGTAAAGTCGGCGGAATAGCACGAGCTCCGGTGTGGGGAGCAAACCTTTCTTACAAATAATAATAATACTTGTTTAACCCCTTGAGCGCGGGGCTGTTTGTCAGTG